AAAAAAATTGCTTGTTGGTCAGCAATGTTGCGAAACTGATTTTTTAGTGAAACAACAGTATCGTTTTCCTTCCTGTGTAAGGCGTCTCCTCGATGTGTAGTCCAGTGTAACAAATCACCGAAATGATTAGTGATGTCACCACAAACACCGAAACGCGCCAGTTTTTTCCTTACCATTGTCTCCAAGGCAATTTTTTTTTTCGGGACTTAAGGAGTTGTACCAGATACGAGCTCTTCTCGCAGCGACCGCCGCCATGAACATAGCAATAGGTTTTATAACTATCACCCACGCAAAAGAAGAAAAGTTTCTTCTTTTGCTTAGAACAGGCGTGGACGCCCTGATTTTACAAAATGTCGGAGTTCTACACATATGTGAGTGGTTCCGTGTATAAGGCAAGTTTTGGTACATGCAATGACGAGATCCAGAATTAAAAGTATTCGCTGAAGTAAATGAAAATTTCGACTCACGAACTTGAAGAAGACCCCTGGTGCATTGAAGTATAAATGGCGATTGGCTTAATTGCTTCGGCAAACATAAAATATTCTTTGAAAACATTCTGCAACTTTGTATATATAGATTTTTTTTAAAATAATCAAATAGGCCTTTTAATGTTTGTCAATTTAAAAAAAAAAATTAACTTTGAACTTGATTTATCTTTCTATTCCAAATGACAGCGGTTAATACGCTAATTTTTACATTTGTAAATTGTAGTTGATGTTATAATTTAAAACAAAAAAATCGAAACTAGATTTTATGTTTTAAAAACGCAGCTATCACAATTAGATATATAATATTGTTTAATATCCTACATTATGTTCAGTGTAATTGCTACTATAAAGCGCCATGATGGACGAGGAAATAAAAAAGAGTTTATTTCCGTTCATTTCTGTTTGCACATGTAGTGCAACTTTTAAGATGACGTTAATCTAGCGCAAATGGTTGTTTCATAATACATACGATTTTAAATCAAATTATCTTTCATAAAATTATTCCCTTTTGTAATGTGTATAATAGTAAGAAAAATTAGTAATTTATAATAAAAAACGTTTACTAATTATTAGTAAAGATATGCAATACATAACAATAGCGACCAAGGATTTTTTTTTATATTGCATAATATACAGATTTTTTTTTTTTAAATATAGATTCTGTTAGGTCAGAATTCCACAAACACCTATTCACTAGATAATTACAGGGTACACAGTAGGGATGGACAGTAGGTGACACGTTCAAAGGAGACTGACCGCTCGGACAGGACAATAGTAGTCTTTATACTGACCAGTAGCCAGGGTTGTTAGCGCCAGGGGGGATAATTTGTTAGGTCATGTTAGGTCACATGTTCTGAGCTCATTGTCCCGTGGGAACAGCTAGGGGGTTAAGACAGGGGTATAAATACAGGCAGGTTAGTTAGTCCTCTCTCTCTCTCTCTCTCGCACAAGCGCTCCCGACGTTAGCGGTTAGGGGAAGCCTCGCTCAGCAGTACAGGCATTCAGCAATTTAATAAACAACAATAAACTTCACTGTAGCTGACTCGGGTAGATTAATTAAATACCCCTAGACAACGACGGCCTTATTGGCTAGTGCCCGAGCCAGTGTCAGCAACGTATTCGGCCGGTGACTAAGCAACCGGACGGCAACATCGTAGTCCGGTCTGCAACAGATTCTTATTTTTTTTTTTCAAATTAACAGTGTTTGGCACGGTCTGGCTGCTTTGCCCAAAACTAATAAACCACGAATAATGTTATTAAAATAACCAAGGGAAGGAGAAACATTGTACGGTATCTTGCTATAACTAAGCTAAAGAATGTGATACGATGTTGTTGTTTTTTTGTGTGCATTAGACATGTAATTTACAGCGTCAGTTTCAGAGTTTCTTCCAGGCATCTCTTTTTTACCGCCCCAACCCGAACGAAATGAAATTTGTAAAATTTATATAGAAAATATATACTTTTAACAGTGTCCGCCCCCCCCCCCCCGAAGAAAGTCTACCCCCCCCCCCCCCCCCCCCCCCCGAAAATTTCAAGAGGCCCCCCCCCCCCCGGAGGAAAAAAGTCTGGAAGAAACACTGGTCAGTTTGCCTTGCCTAGTTCGCTTTTGTATTAGTTTTTAATATCGACTTGATAGGACTGATACAGATTATTATTACAATAGTAATATGCCTACCTCTTTCGGACATGTACTTACATTCGTGTAATTTTATTTTTAAACCTGGAAATGCAAATGTGTAATTAAACGGTGATTCAAGGAATTTTTTTTTTTAAAAAGGCCTGCACAATATAAATATAGATCTAGTTTTGAATATAGTTTCTATTTTAGATCATTTGTAAAAATTTCAATTGAAACGTTATTCCATATTTTGTCATCTGAGTAGACGAAGCTCCCTTTGGAAAATGTTTTTGATAATGGGCAATTCAAGTAGATACAGTGGCGTAGGCGGGGGGGGGGGGGGGGTTAGGGGGGTCATAACCCCCCCCATAGACCTCTCGGTATATATATATATAAAGTATGAGGGGGGTGCAAATCGAAAGTTTGGGGGGGGGGGTGCAAATCGAAAGTTTGAGGGGGGGTGCAAATCAAAAGTTTGTCCCCGGGTAAAAATTGGGAACCCCCCCCCCCCCCCCCCCTTGAGACGATCCAGGCTACGCCACTGAGTAGATATAAATTATAATAAACAAATGTATGTATTTCCGTAGTGAGATGCACATGCAAATGTTTTCTGTATAATTTGCATGTTGGAATCGATAGGCCTACACGATATTATGACTTGGACCAACAACTGAAACAGAATAACACAAAGAACCTAAATAAAATCTAATGTATCGTATCAAGCTAAAAAAAAATCCAACTGCGCACCAGAGGCCTGCTGTTGAATGCGTGTCTGAATGAAGGTATAAACTTCCGGAAATGTTTTAAAAATATGTGGGCTAGCTAGTAAAAACATGCACGTCTACCCTGTGTGTGTTTGAGTATATGCAAATGGGAATTCCAGCTCAAACATGGGTTGGAATGTGTACAAATCATTTGTATGTGTGACAAATTAATTTTGTCGCACATAATAAAATGGATACACGTTATTTACCACGTGAGGTGTTATTCAACACACCTCTGATGGCAGTTCTGCAGATTATGTTTAGTTTGTATGAGCCAACTGCATCTAGATCTATATGACCTCTTATGAATTATCTACTAGATTTTTAACCACTTTTAAGAACAATCGTTTAATAGATAAGTTAAAATAGACCTGCGGCTGAAATAGCAGATGTGTTTGCTGGCAAATTTTTAAAAAACATTTTGATCTTACCATCTTTATCAACAAGAATAGATAATCAATAAACAAAATATGATCTTTGAAACATCCGCCCACGAGTCAATCAGACAAAAAAAACCCATCATGGCTGAATGTAGAATTTTATCCTGTGATGTTGAAAGCTATTCAACCATGATCGTAGTGTTTCACATTTGTTCAAGACTTTGTACACTGCAAAAAAAATTTTTTTTACCAAGCTCACATTTGCCCATTACACAAGAAAATATCTGAATGTTATTCTGTTTCTTAATCTATGAAAATGATTGACCACAAAGAGTTACGGTCGTTACAACGAATACAACCGCCCCAGACCTCGCTGAAATAGCTGAATGTGACCTACGATAAAGATTCTTCTTCCTTCCCATCTACCCATTGAACACGTGAAGTGAACGATCGGCCGGCGCCTCAAAGATTTAACACAACAAAATGTATCAAGTCAACTTGTTCGTGATCAGCAAGCTGGTGACAATAATCTTAACGGCCGTCGCCGGGCGTCTAGCCCGAAACATCAACATAAGTTCAAAACCACGTGATCGAAAGCGTATCTATAGACAGCTGAAATTTTTCGGGTTTTATCCGGTGGTCATTGCTGTGTTTATTTTTATGATGTTTATTTTAATCCATCTGGAAAGAACCCCAATTACGGATAGACTAAGGTTTGTCGTATTTCAATACGAGAATTCAGACATTGGAGTTGGATCTGACATTGAAGTTTTAGAAAATGAATACAATGGCCATCTATTATCCCGAAACAAATCTGCTGTGTTGTCAGTCCGTAATGTAACTAATACTATTATTAAAGCAAACAAGGAACTGTCAGAACGAGGCAACTGGACTGTATACCTTGTGGAAGATAAGTCATGCAACGCTTACGTCATAAATGGCAGGTTCATAATTGTGTATGAAGGTCTACTGGCAGCTGTTGATTCCACAGATCAACTTGCTTTTGTTCTTGGCCACGAGATGGCGCATGTTGTCCTAAAGCACAGTTCAGAAAGCCACAGTGTGTTTTCTTTGATTGATATTATATTTTTACTTACTCTTTTCGTAATTTGGTGTTTATCTCCTAGTAAAATTCGAGCTTTTGTACTCTCGTTGATATGTGTAACGCTATTAAGTTTGTTAGTATTTCAACCTCACACCCGGTATTTAGAGAGTGAGGCAGATCAAGTCGGTCTAATGTTCGCTGTGAAGGCATGCTATGACTTTCGCGCAGGCGCCGCGTTATGGGAAAACATTGTAAGGTTACAAAACATCACCAACACTACTAGACATATACCTGATTTTTTTCTATCTCACCCAGCTGAGATCAAGAGAGCCGTTTATCTAAGCCTTTTAAAGGAACCTGCGAAATTATGGAGGAGTGAAAATAGACATTGCACGTCACTAGTAGAAACAGATGAACAAGAAGTCTGCCCAAAACCTTAAAATAAAATTCAAATTAAACTGCTCTGAATATCTGCAAATAACTTTTGTATGTCCCTTTATTTTACATGTTTGTTCATTTTTAAGTATAATTAGTTTCACTCGGTATATATATATATATATATATATATATATATATATATATATATATATATATATATATATATATATATATATATATATATATATATATATACACAAGTCCAAGCTGTTACATTCTAGCAGAAGTGGGTGACATTTCTTTCTGATGCTTTCACTCATGAGCTGCGGACAAATCTCGAGAAATCAAGTTAAATGGTATATGAGAAAAAAAGTATAACAATTCAGAAAATTACATAGTATAGAATCTAGGATAAAATTCATTTTCAATTTAAAAAAACTATTATTGTGTTGCACTCAACTGTTGTTTGTTGTTGTTGTTGAGAGATGCGGATTTAAAATACTTTCTGCTCAATGAAATATCTAAATATTCTCCCAAGTAGGCTAAACTCGTTTTTGAGGAAATTAAAAAAAAAACATTTTGACAAATCGTAAAAAAAAAGTGTTATGTTGGAAATATATTCAGAAAAAAAAAAAAAAACCTACAACAGCTGTGGGTATTTATAGGCTTTTATCTACCCTATAACGGATATTTTTCCAAACATTTTTCCGGGTTGGGACGACTGGTAAAAGTATATATTTTCTATAATAATTATATATTTTTTTCTATTTCATCATGGGGGTGGGTAGGGGTTGGAAGGGGTTGGGTAAGGAGATATCTAAAAGAAACTCTGACTTCGTGGTTTCCTATAATGATAGTCGTCGCAAGCTAGTTATATCCATTTGCAATCCGAATTGTGAAAGATGTGAACGTCATAAAATATCAGTGATCACATAAAATTTAAAATACAGGCATTTTATATATAGCCTATATATATATATATATATATATATATATATATATGTAACTAGGTGTAGTTACCAGAGACGATAACAACGCAATAGTGCAGGTGTTAGGCTGATAACGATCACAAAGCCGCTGCGCAGTTCACAGGCTGACGTAACAGTGCAGATGGCTTATTAATCGGACTGTATGACAGAAGCGGCGGAATTAACATTCTGATGCAACGATTAGAATCGATTACGATTACGATTACGATTACGATTACGAATCCGATTACGAATACGAAGGGATATATAGGAAGGCTGAGATCAGAGGGAGACAGAACGATGATCAGTGAGGATCAGTCAGTCAGTCAGTAGGGGAGTGGCAGTATCAAGTTGGTTATTGAACGGGTTAGCCGTATTGTGTTAAGAAGGACGATAGACATGTGCATTCAGTTATGTGAAGACTAGTGAGGACTGTTGGGGGTCAGTTGATTCAGACTATTATTGTGAAGCATTCCTTTTGATTCATTATATTATTGTGAAGCATTTCTTTGATTCATGTAATAAAAGGATCAATAGCGAACCTGCATCTTCGAGTATCTATACTGTGGTCGATGTTGTGAAGAATGAGTGGTTAGACTCGGTAACATTTGGCGTTGTCGAGCAGAACTCGTTAACATTTGGCACTACAGGCAAATAGTCTCGTTACATTTGGCGCTGCGGACAGGATGAATCCAATTAGACCAGCCGCTTTAAGCACCCATAGTCAACCTAGTTCATAACTGTGTTTAGTGTGTGTGTGAATTCGGACATTCAGGAACAGTGAAAATTGAGGAACGAGGAAAATTTTTTCATACACACACGGTAAGAAAGGTCTTTTTTTTATTTGAAGGAAATAAATAAAAGGGAAGACTGAAATCAGAATTGAGGAAATTGAAAAGAACAGAGATGAGACACCTTTCATTATCATTCTGGCTTGGTGTCACATGCTCTTTTGCTGCTGCAAGCATGTGGCTCAGTATACCCCTAGTTGTAGCACCAGCCACCCTGGGGACAGCTATGGGGCTGACCACCAGCATCCAGATAATTGGCATTGGTATCTCCAACTTGGTTGTGGGACAAATACTAGGCAAAGATGACAACCAAGATATAGATGGAACTCTTAGACACTGGAAATGTGTCATGATCTCCCTGTTGGGCAACACTATCTGCTGCATAGCTGCAACATTTTTCCTTAATGTGAATGACAGACGCAGGAGTGGTATTTTAAATATCAGAAAAGAACAAAAACTCCTGCTGGCCCAACAATCTGAGCCAGATAAAGATAGCCCAGAGATAGGCAACGGTGAGGATGACCCTTTGCCTCCAGAGGGACCAGGACAAAATTTGGACAAAAAGCCGATCCATATTGTGGTCCTGCCCAGTGAGTCCCACATCAACAAATTTTACGGGGACGGTGATCCAGCTTTAACCAACAGGTTCAGTGAAGAGGTCAAAGCGGCCTGGGCCTCGAGACACATGTCACCAGAGGAAGGATTAAGACTGCTGATGGGCAGTATAGGAGAGACGGTTAGGGCAGAGGTCAAATGCCACGATAAAACCATCCAATCAGATCCAGATAAGGTGCTGGATCTAATTATGGAGACCTTTGGGGAGAGACGGTCGGGATCGCAACTGCTAGCGGTGTTTGTAGGTATAAAGCAGAGACTGGCGGAGAGTGTGATGGAGTATTCACACCGAATGAACAGGGCCTTTGAAGCTGTAAAAGGCAAAATACCCGACATGGATGCGCGCCTGCTGAGGGACCATTTCATCGAGGGGCTGGCGACCCCTATGGCAAGAAGATATTTGAAAGAAGAGGTCTACAAAGACCCACAGTTGACCTTCCTTCAGGTCAGGAACTCAGCGATCCGCAGGTCCGAGGATGAGGACCAATCGAACTGTTCGGTAGACAAAGTCTCGGTGCCGGAACAGAAACAATCCCCACCCACAGGGACCGGCACGATGGAAACCATGATGGCCCGACTGTTGGCCCACCTGGATAAGGTTGGCCAACGATTGGAGAGGTTAGAAAGCAGGTCAACAGCTGAGAATCAGGGCAAAAACGGGACAAAACATGGTCAGGTTGGACAGCCGCGACCTGCTGGTCCATCGCTCCGGTGGACGGCTGACGGTCGACCAATCGGTTTGTCCTGCTCTCAACCCGGACATGTGGCACGGTACTGTCCGGTGAAACGATCGCCCTCTGTAAGGCAAGACAAGGCTACAGAGTGGCGAGGTTATGGCTTAAGAAACAAAATGGGACAAACAATGAAAGAGTCTCAAACAGGACTTGAAGAGAAATTATCAGATATGGAAAAAGAACTTCAAATTACACAAGGAAAATTAGATTTGAAGCGTTCTGAACTTCAGAATTGTGAAACTAAGCTAACAGATACTATAGCCTTGGTAGAAGAACTTAAGAATTCAAAAGACTTGTTAATAATAGAAAAAATGAACTGTGAAATGAACTTGGATGTTGAAAAGTTTCAAGTGAACAATTTGTTGGCAGAGAAAAATTATGATAAGAAAGAAATTGGTAAACTTAAGAATGAGATCTCAATGTTAACCATGAAACTGGATAGGGAAAGTTCATGCAAATTAAAAGCACAGGAGAAATGTTCATCTTTAAAGTGTCTGTTAGCTGAAGAAGAAAATAAAAACATGAGACAACAGAACAGTGTTGGCAAACTAGAAGAAATGATAGAAAAAGAAAGGCTATTGAATCGACAGTTAGAAAAGCAAGTATTAGAACTAATGAAAAAGGTTGAAAATAATACACTTCTTATAGCAGATGAAGAAAAAGAAGTAGAAGTCTTGCACATTTCTATTGAAGAAGTAGAGGTGATGCAAAACGGGCAGACTGTGGTGGAGCACATATCCACAGAGCCCCGTCATATGGACATTAGTGATTTTAATTGCCCTAATCACAAAGAGATAAGAAATGCCCAGAAAACGGATAGTGGCTTACAGCCGCTATTGAAATACGTCCAGGAACAAAAATTCCCAGGAAAAAGGGAAAGAGAACAATTTGGTCGGGAAACAAAGAAACTACTGAGTCAGTGGGACCGTCTCAGTATAAAGGATGGTGTTCTCATGCGGAGAATTCATGACCAAATTGATGGGACAATACACCAGGTGGTGGTGCCTGGACAATTACGAGAAGAAGTGCTAAGGTTGGCACATGACAGGGCAGGACACCAGGGTCAGGACAGGACGCACAAAATATTACGACGGCGGTGTTACTGGCCCAATATGGAAATGGAGGTCAAACGCCATTGTGAGGCTTGTGTTAGGTGTCAGCATGCGAAAATGCCAGTTGTCAAAATGAGACAGCCATCAGGACACTTACTGGCGACAAAACCACTAGAGATTGTGGCTATGGACTTTACGTCGTTGGAACAATCATCGGATGGGACGGAACATGTGTTGGTAATGACTGATGTATTCACCAAATGGACTGTGGCGGTGCCTACACGAGATCAGACTGCCAAAACAGTGGCAAAGGTCTTAATAGAACATTGGTTCATCAAATATGGCATACCAAGACAATTACACTCTGACCAAGGAAGGGCCTTTGAGTCAGAAGTAATTAACCAACTGTGCAGCCACTACGGGATCAACAAATCTAGAACAACCACATTTAATCCGAAAGGAAACGGACAGTGCGAGCGGTTCAACCGCAGCATGCATGATTTGCTGCGTACCCTAGAACCTGAACAGAAAAAACGTTGGCCTGATTTTCTCCCAGAGTTGGTATATCTATACAACTGCACCCCCCATGCCACAACCGGCTTTTCGCCACACATGTTGCTGTTCGGACGGGAGGCTCGACTCCCTCTTGACTTGTTCCTAGGGAAAAAGGAAAGTATGACTGGCTCATACACCGCACTGGAATATGTGAATGAACATATGAGACGAATTAGAGAAATGTACAGGGTAGTACAGGAAAGACTAGAACATGAAGCACGGCGAAGGGAACCGCCGGTACAGACAAAGGACCCGCCACTCAAACTGAACGACAGGGTATTACTGCGTAGCCACCCGTTAGGCAGAAACAAAATCCACGACCTCTGGGGACAGGAGATATGGCAAGTCGTGGAGATGCCTAAAGTAGCAGGTGGCCCCTTTAAGATAAGACCCATCGATCACACCAAACCGGATCGGTGGGCGAATATTGCTCAATTAAAGAAATATTGGCATAGTCAGGAAGAGCATTTACACACGAAGAAACCTAAGACAATTAGGGAACCGGAAATTACAACGGAAATTCACATACCCATCCCGGAACCATGTCACCATCAACAGCGCAACAGCGATACACAAGGGGAGGATACCGGCAACAAGGAGGATCCCGGTCCTCCCAGAAGCAGAGACACAGTAGAACATCAGATAAGTGGTCCGCGGAGAAGTTTGAGAAACAGAAAGAATACGAAATTTTTCGTCAGCAACCATCAATTCTTTCATGGTCGCGCTGGTATGAGAACAGACTGTTCAAAAAGTTATAAAAGTGAACTGGTGAAGGCACCAAACGAAAAAGGTGGATGTGAATTCTAGGACTACCTTGTGTCTGAGGACTATGATGTAGACACATTTGATATGTGAAATAGGGATAACTGTCAATCTTTTACGAGTGGGACGACATTGACAGTGAATGGAACAATAAATTTTTTTTACGATGGTGAGATTGACATTTAAGAGGTGCACCTACCAAGCGTTGTTTGTGGTTGAAAACACACAAAAAAAGGCGGCGGTGGATGTAACTAGGTGTAGTTACCAGAGACGATAACAACGCAATAGTGCAGGTGTTAGGCTGATAACGATCACAAAGCCGCTGCGCAGTTCACAGGCTGACGTAACAGTGCAGATGGCTTATTAATCGGACTGTATGACAGAAGCGGCGGAATTAACATTCTGATGCAACGATTAGAATCGATTACGATTACGATTACGATTACGATTACGAATCCGATTACGAATACGAAGGGATATATAGGAAGGCTGAGATCAGAGGGAGACAGAACGATGATCAGTGAGGATCAGTCAGTCAGTCAGTAGGGGAGTGGCAGTATCAAGTTGGTTATTGAACGGGTTAGCCGTATTGTGTTAAGAAGGACGATAGACATGTGCATTCAGTTATGTGAAGACTAGTGAGGACTGTTGGGGGTCAGTTGATTCAGACTATTATTGTGAAGCATTCCTTTTGATTCATTATATTATTGTGAAGCATTTCTTTGATTCATGTAATAAAAGGATCAATAGCGAACCTGCATCTTCGAGTATCTATACTGTGGTCGATGTTGTGAAGAATGAGTGGTTAGACTCGGTAACATTTGGCGTTGTCGAGCAGAACTCGTTAACATTTGGCACTACAGGCAAATAGTCTCGTTACATATATATATATATATATATATATATATATATATATATATATATATATATATATATATATATAACAAGAAGTCTGCCCAACAAATATATATATATATATATATATCCTGCATAACTAGACAAGCATTGAATCCAAGGAAAATTTGAGAAATACCTGGAGACGTGACCTAGAATTAAAAAAAAACACCTAGAGACAGAAGAATCAGTGGCGTCGCTAGGTCGGGTGTCACACGGAGCGGCACCTCATGGTGTCATCCCCCATTTTTCTGTAAATTTTGCAGGTGGTGCCCCCCCCCCCCCCCCCCCCCCCCACACACACACAAGGAAAAGATGTAAAGTGTTCACAATTAATACTAACGACGTTTATCTATCGTAGGTTGTTAATACAGCTAGATAAGCATTGTTTTCTTTATAGTTTGCATGTTTACGTCATGGTGTCCCCCCCCCCCCCCCTTTTCGGGATCGTCATTATGTACTTTAAATATTTTATACTCTAATTAACCATTCATTGTATTGCCAAAAACATATTTATTCTAGATATATTACAATCATTTTGTCTTGGTGTTACCCCCCCCCCCGAATGGCGTCACGGGGTGCAGTCCGTACCCCTCTCCCCCGCCTCGCGACGCCTCTGAGTAGAATTCAGAGTATTTTCAGGCACATCTTCGACTGAGGGGCACAGACCCCCCCCCCCCCTCCGAATGAAATAGAATTTATATTAGTCCAGAATTTTTTAAGTGCTCCATCCCCAGAAAAATGTCTAAAAGAAACACTGGTTGGAGTAACTAACGCTCAATGAGGATGCCTTGGAAGCTTTCGTCGTCGGCCCATATATATATATATATATATATATATATATATATATATATATATATATATATATATATATAGAGAGAGAGAGAGAGAGAGAGAGAGAGAGAGAGAGAGAGAGAGGGAGAGAGAGAGAGAGAGGGAGAGAGGGAGATAAGCAAATCGTTTTCTTATTGCACTGTTCTGAATGATAATACAAACCACTACCTTACGAAGTGTTTTCGACTGTGTTTATTGATATAACTTAAGTATTCGTTATTTAGACCGGGTAAACCCCTTAACTTTAAAATAATGATTTAGATAAGAGAGTAGTATTTACTTTTAAATTTCAAGTAAAATTAAAACTAAATTCTAGTTTAGGAAACTATTTGAAATATTATGCATACCCATTTTATGTAGAATCCACATATAAATAAATAAATAAATAATTTATTCCATATCAACAAATATTAGGTTCATGGGCAAGTCAAATGCTTTTCTATTCCATGTTTTGTATCCAATCAAAATAGAGCGTGGTGATTTTAAAGAAAATGGCCGATTGATACTAAACAATAAGACAAATGCTAAATCTACTTGTTTACAAACTTTTGTATGTTATTATATTAGATTTTGTAATATGTAATTATTACAACTTATTTATTGGAACCCTCTGATGATTATAGATACCGTTGTCCGATAATGGAATCTTCTTTAAAAAAAGGGTGTTGGGTTGTTAATGTTATTGTAATCTCGACTGTCACTAATTTTAAATTTACTAAATTTACTCAATTTAGTTACTAACTAAATTGAGTAAATTTAGTAAATAACTAATATACCATTTAACTAATAGTTAGGGCTTAGGGAGGCTTAGGCCTATTTTATGGCCTATACTTTAGGCCCTATTTAATTTATTTAGAAATCTAGATTCTAATTTTAATCCAATTTTGAACAAAATCATTAAAATAAAATTAGTTAAGCCTAGATTCTAGATCTAGATAGATCTTGACTCTTGTTTAGAAATTTTTTAGGGTTAGGCGTATGCCGTATGGTAGGACCAGGGTTGCCGACTAAGTGGAGACGATGGGGAGAAAAATCTTCAGAGTAGTCACTTCGATTTATTTAATTAACTAGGCCTACTACCAGTAACCTAACACCCCTTTTTTAAAGAAGATTCCATTATCGGACACCGGTGCGGTAGATCTATATAAACATTCTCCCGAACTCTCACAATAACAAAATCATAAGTACTGAATCTTCTATTAGTAACATCCCAGCTATCATTAGAATTTCATACACAGTTATCACAGTACTAATGAGTAATATTTAGGCAGTGAGATATTCGCAGACAGAATCTGAGAATATTCTGAATTTTTTAGGCCTAATTCTTCTAATAAACTTTTTTTTACAGAGAGCAAGATTTACCCTACTATTAGTAAACAAACATTCATCCTAAACTAAACAAAATGTAAATCTTAATTAATAGTTTAGGCATATAGATCTACTATGCATATTTTCAATTTATTTAGAATGAAAATTTAATTGAAACTTTAGATATCGGGATTGTTTTTTCAGTGTTGTTCAACAATGTATCCAGTGAATAATTCATCACCAAAACATCAGATCCAAGTACCAGAGAATGGGAATGTTAAGGTTCCTACATTAGATTTCTTTTAGCAATGTATAATAATTAACCTAATGGTAACAAATCATGAAACTTAGCCTAACTGAATGCAATAGGCCTAATTAATTGCCATTTCGCATATTACAATTTACCATAACCCTTGCCTGATAACCCATGGTTTGGGTAGAACATATGGATAAATTACCTAGTATTTTACTTATGTTGGCTATTAATTGAATTTTTAAAAGGTGGTTTTATTCAAGTTGTATTTGCTTATAGATAGTGTCATTTAAAAAATTTTTAAAATTCATCACAGGTTGTTATTCGTATTCGTCCCTTGAATGAAACAGAAACAAGTGAAAAACATCAAACTGTCACTGAAGCAATCAGCGATCACATGCTTGTCTTTGATCCCAAAATTCAAAATGCTCCAGGATTCTTGAAAACTAATCAACGTGACATCAACCGCAGAAGATTTAAAGATCTTAAATATGCATTTGACTATGTTTTTGGGCCTGCGGCATCGAACAAAGCTGTCTTTGAGCAAACGACAAAGGGCATTGTAAATGGAGTACTCAATGGCTACAACTGTAGTGGTAAATACTACTTGAACAATTATTTGTTTTTAAAACATTTAATACTAAATACTTTAAAAAGTTATTTTTAAACATCTGCTGAATTTTATTTCTAGAATCATATTATTTTATTAAATAGAAATAAAAAATAATTTATTTATAATTTGTTTGAACTAAAGAATGTATCACTTAACTTCAGCTGTTGTTAGTGTAATTTGAATGAACAAATAAGTTTGAGAATCATTGATCTCAGTATATCAATGTCTTTTTGACTTTCTTTCTGATCACACACACATTTTAAGCTTAATATTTGAATTTAGTCCTCCTGCAAGTGTTGTTTAAATCTTCACAGTGTTTGCTTATGGTGCTACGGGTGCTGGAAAAACCCACACCATGCTGGGCAATGAACGTGAGCCTGGTGTTATTTATCATACTATGATTGATTTGTATAAGAAGATCAATGAGCAAAAGGAGGAAAAAATGTTCGATGTAGCTGTATCTTATTCCGAGGTAAATTACACAAAATTGGACACTAATTAGTCCTTTATATAATGATATAAAAAATAACACTCTAAGTATTGGATGTTTATTACTTTTAATTTATTTATGTTAATGGAATTTTGTTTCTTTAATAATTTAATACTATTTGATTAGTGTATGTGTCTGTTTTCTGAATAAAACAACTAATGGTTACAACATTGTCAAATGATACAAATAGTTTATTTATATATTACTTATCAACAACATTAATCTTTCATTTGCTTACAGGTTTATAATGAGCAAGTAAGAGACTTGCTAATGCCACGTGGTAATCTCCCTATCAGAGAAGACAAAAATGTTGGTGTTATCATTGCAGGACTCTCCCTACATAAGGTAAAATAATAATTGTCAAAGTTATAAAAGAATATAAACACATTATTTGCAGACTAGTTATAGTTACAGATTTTAATATAACTTTAAGAAGAAAATATAATTATACAGTATTTGATTTCAGACTAACTATTGAAATATTCATAATTAGGTCTAAAAAATTACAATTATGCTTTTTATAAGTAATGTATTATTAGTTTTAAAATTTGTTTAGGACTTTGAAAATAATAATGTTAACTATATTTATTTTTAGCCTAAGACTGCTGAAGAGCTTCTACATATGCTGCAATTTGGCAACAAGAATCGAACACAACACCCAACAGATGCCAATGCAGAGTCATCACGATCTCATGCAGTATTTCAGGTTGTGACATTGTGTCTAAGCAAGCTAAACCTAGAAGTTATTGTAGTTCTGTTTGTGAATAAAGAATATATTTTTGTTCAAAAATTTATTTGCAGGTTTTTGTGAATCAAAGAGAAAAATCAGCTAATGCAGCAACAGAGCTTAAAATGGCTAAAATGTGCCTTGTGGATCTGGCTGGATCAGAAAGAGCTAACCACACAACCAATAGAGGGGATAGATTTAGAGAAGGGGCCAACATCAACAGATCATTATTGGCTCTTGGCAATGTCATTAATGCATTGGCTGATAATAAGGTTGCTAAAGCTTTCCATATATTGTTTCTGATACAATTTTTTTGTTTAAAAACATTTATCTTTTAGGATAGGTATTGCCCAAAAGAAAAATTTCTTTATCAACATAGGAGCCCAATATTATAGGAGCCCATTACTATGCAAGAATACCAAATATAGTTCAAAATTTTAGTGACCTTGAAATAAACTTGAAAATGGCTACTGTTACCTTATTTAGTAACATATTTTCCATGTTTCTGATGGGATCTGAACTGTTGTTAAAAAGACTTTTTGTATAACATGTTTGAAATCAGTGAAGCTAGTTTGTGAATATTTGTAAGGTAGATGCTCTTGTAAGAGTTAATGTTTAACTTAAGATATAGATAGATTTATTTATTATTTAATATATTTTCAAAATTCATAGATATGAAGATGTTAAAGTAATATACAGACTGTAATATGATATGTAGAAACTATTTATAAATAAAGTTTAATGATGCTTCTAAATTACCAGGAAATTAGCAAAAGATGCGGATTTATAACTGGTAATGAATAACTAACTTTGAATAATTAATTTTGCAGTTTAAGGGTCACATTCCATATAGAGACAGCAAACTGACAAGACTGTTGAAAGATTCATTAGGAGGCAATTGTCAAACAGTGATGATAGCTGCTGTCAGGTGAAGTGGTTTTTATATTATTTGACAAGCTGACGTATCATGTGCCGCTATTTAGTTGTTTTATTTTCTACTTTTCAGTAATTCATAATTTGTAAATTCGACAGTACCAATGCTGCCACTCAAAATATTTGCTTTAAAATACTATCAGTAGGTCGTTAAGGACGATACACCCCACCCCCCAAACCCTCCTATCCCCCAACCCCTACCCTACACCCCCCCCCCCGTGAAAGCAGCCTCCTCTTAGTTACCTCCCCTAAGTTTAAAATCGTTTCAAACTAAATTATCTGCCCCTAATAGCCGTCACTAAACCCGGCTCTACGATTGTAAACATTTAGCGTGAACCACAGCTCACCAGACCATGTGGGGGTGGTAGGAATATGCCTAGAGAGGAAGAGAGGGGGTTGCTAGGCGAGCTTACATCTTGGTGTTTTCTATGGTCTCCATGAAGAGAATTATATATATAGATTACTGACTGTTAAAAATTGATACTATTTTATTTACTTGATAATTATTACCTACTGCTATTTCAAATAATACTTATTTTGTTGCATAATCTATGACAGAATTTATTTCAGTTTGTAAAGGTGTTTTGACTTTATTCAATTCGTTTAGATTAATTTTCATTGAGATGATTAATAATAAATGTAAACATTGTTTCATGTAGCAAATAAAAATAACTTAATAATGTTTTACTTTCATATTTTCAGTCCATCAAGTAAATCATTTGAAGACACTTACAATACTCTTAGATATGCTGACAGGGCCAAACATATTCGTGCAGATGTAAGTATACAAGTTTTTGTGTGTGTCATTTTTAATTAAATTAAATAACAAGCACCCAAGAGAATTTAATAAGTGCATTATAATTTTGGTGAGTATTGATAGTATGTCGGATAGGTAAATTAAGGTTTCAATTATGTGATCGCTGCTAAAAATGGATAACTCAAGTATTGTTTTACAAACTATATTAGTTGATAGATACTTCATATTATACTATTTATAAACGTTTAATTTCAGCTTAAAAAGAATGTGATAAATGTGGATTTCCACATAGCTAACTACAAAAAATACGTTCAAGAACTTGAAAAGGAGGTAGGTGTATTTCCCCTACATTGTCATCATTCTACTGTTTGATTATTATGTATTACATGCATTTTTGTACAATAAAATATTTAAAAATGGTAGTGCTGAAATCTCAATAAATAAATTTGAAGTGACCATTGGTATAACCTTTAGTAAAAAAACAATAGTTATAAGGGATGTAACTTTGTCATATTAGCGTTTATATTATAATATACATCTTATTCACACCTGGTGAATTAAATGCTCCAATACATCAGTGTTTTATAACAAATTATATAAATAAATATATGTATAATTTCATTGTTATGATGTTACTTTTTAGAATCAAGAGTTAAGGAAAACCAAACAGAAACTTATGGAGACTATAGAAAATGGAGACTCTGTAAAAGCTCCTGTCATATCGCCAATTATGAGACAGTAAGCTGTTTATATATTTTCATGTATTTTATAGTAAAAAAAAATTAGTTGAAATATAGCAATGACTTAAGAATAAGAGTGTATATTTTTTTACTTCATTTCTAATATGTATAAATTAACGTTTATGCTGAAAAAGTTTAATTGTTGTAACTGTTAATTTAAAAAAAAATTATGTAAAATTTAAATTTGTTTTATATTAAAGAAGCCATATAAAGATTACTGATTTACCTACAGATATTTTTCCATAACATTCATAATAAAATTAAAAAAAATAAAAAACCTAATTATAACTTTCATAGATTTCAGGAAAGACTTAAGGACTTGTTTAAGACCAGAAAAGAAATAAGAAAAACTCAAATGGAATCGGAAGGAGCTAAACGTGAACTGAAATGGAAAGTTATCCGTAAAGAACAGGCTATAAAGAGGGTCGGAATGTTAACAGCATCACAGGCAAGTATTATATTTTTATTAGCTTAGTAAAGACAATATTATTGAATAGAAATAATATGACAATTGAAAAAAAATGTATTTGTAGTTTTTGTAATGTTGAACTAAATCACGATTTTTAAAAATGGTTCACAGAGTGTAATAAGCAAACACAACCGTGTAATTGATAGAATGAAGAAGAGGATAGCAAAAGAGGAGCAGACTCTCGCTGAATCTGCCCACACCATCCAAGATCATGATTCATGTATTTACAGCACATACTCTTCCATAGTCTCCACATTATCTGAGGGGAAGCAACTACCAGAGGTAAGATGCCAAAACCTGACCTTTACAGCAATGTCATTTTGTACTTCTATTTAGCAGTGTACTTGCAATGCTTAATTTAAAAAAAAATATGATTGAAGTATTGAGGCCAAATTGCACTTTATTTGAAAAGCTAGTGATTTTATTTTTTACTATAACTTTTTTTTTAAACAATCTCATGTTCAAAAATAAAAACTTTACACATTATGTAAATATATCATATTGACCAGTTTACATGTTTTTAGTTGCTTGACCTGAATGTCAGGGTACACACAGTGGAATCTAATCTGTATGACAGTCACATGTATCTGGCATTTGTCAAGAAAATGGCCAGAGCACAAGAAAGACAAGCTTCAGTGAATGAAAAGTCAGTTTTTATTTTGCTTAATGATAGCAATTTTTGGTTTTGGTTTCTTATAAAGAAAATATTTTATTATATTTCTAAACATGTTGAACGTTTGTTGAGTTTTAGTAGTTTAAAATGAATATTATTCATATATTCAATGGGTATAAATCACTTTGCTAGAAATGGTTTTTAAACAAAAGCTGTAGCGTTTATTGTTAACTTTATTCTTTTTCTGTAAGATTAACATTCAACGCTTTGTGTTCTTAATGCACCAAAATTTAAATGTTGAGCCACTCCTGCAAATTATGTTAGCCTTTCCTCGTAAAATCTAAACTTGTAGATTTTTAATATTCATGTTTTAACCCATTAAAAATGCAACTGTGTTTTCTTGACAGGCTGATTTCCTCTTTGATTCAACTGGTGAAAAAGCAGCATGATGTCTTGCACAGCCAGGATTTATTGAATCAGGAACTCCAGAACAAATATGAGCAGTGCTGCTATTTAGTGGAAGAGCGTGGAGTGGCATGGGACAGTCCTGGTTCACCTCAAGATGGTGGCGGGGGAAACAACAAAACTGGAAAAGATGAAGAGGAAGAAATGTGTATCAGTGAAATAATCGATATACAGATTCCTAAACTCCATGTCCAAGGTATTTAGAGAAACGGCTCACATTAAAGAACTTTGCAATGAATTGCATCTAAAATCTTGTTTTCTCTTAGTTTTTTTTTTTTTTTTTTTTTGGTTTTAAGATTCTGATATTTTGTTATTTGTATTCTAGCTTTGCGTCTAGACTCTGTACATCAAAAACCCAAAGCTGACACTCTCCCACAGATTAGGCAGCAGCCACAAAGAATCTTGAAGCCAATGTCTGCTGTTAAACCTGCAACACGATGCCAGATTGGGCCCGTAAGTCTTAGGGGATGTTAAATTAGGTTTCATTTATATCAATAATGATAATACATTTATATTTCCACGTAAATGTTTACTTAATTCAAAGACTGTTATTTTTTGTTGTTAATATTATACACTTTATTTTATTATGTGCATTAACTTTAAATTTTGCTTAATATTTACATTTGGACTTGCTTACTTAATATACTCAGTGGTGGGAAAACTTGATGGAAAAACCATGAGAATCCATCCATGATTTATAATTTGTTGGATATAATATATGCTCAAGGTGTAGCTCTCTTCTGTTTGGGGTGAGAAAGATCTTCCATAAAGCAAGCTGCATTTTAGGATAGTCCTGCACTTAACTGCACCAACAGGAATGTACATCATTTGAGAGTAAGAACAAAGCAAGTAGAAAAATGTCAAGTTTTGATTAATGAGTTGTTATTCTTAATATTAATTTGTGGACTTTGAATTCTATCCTTCAGGGGTTGGGGAATAATGACAGAAATGTGAAAGGTGTGCATGGCTCGGAGGAAATTGCAACAGGTAGTAATCAACAGACAACTAAAACCCCTGAGATGGAAACAAAACAGTCAGTTAAAAATTGTGACTTAAACCCAGTAGAAGCTTTGAACAATTCCCTTGAAAAATGCCCAAAAAGGTTAGGACAGTGTGGTAACATGAATTCAGGCAGCCCCCATGGTACACCCTCGGCCTCAGTTACAACCATCAGCTTTGGAGACAGCACTCTTGTTCCCACGGAGTCTGTGAATGGACCTAAACCTCCACAGGCTGCTGCAAATGACCAGAAACCTAGTCTGCTTCCACAAAACACAGAGCATGACAAAGCCCCTGTGATCAAATCAGCGCAGGTGGCGGACGGCAAGGTTGCGCCTGATCCCAAACCGTACCACGAAACACCTTCGCAGACTTCCAGCACTGACCATCTCAATGACACTTTCCAGGTGTTGAAACCTGCTCTACCTAATACTCCCTGCATTGACAGCTCCCTGAAATTAAACATTCCTGATGCTGCTAAACCTTCACCTGCAACACCACACCTGAGGCAAACTACAGAGCCCAACAGGCCTAGACACCTGGAGAAGATAATCAAAGCTGACACTCAGAGTGATGACATTTCCAACAGGTCCTCTGTCTTCAAAGGTGAAGGCGTTGTCAAAGTTGCCCCTGCTTTACGTTTCCCTCCCAAGTCATTAAACTCCACCTTCTCCTCGTCCAGAGGAACTGAGAAAGATGACAAGCAGCAGCCCAACAATCGACGCATTTCCTCCGAGTTTTCTAGACAAAACAAACTAAAATCATCTTCAGCGGGCAGTGCCCGTCCCATCAGTGTGTCACCTGTGAGTTCAAGTAAACATTCACCAACCAACAGTAGCAAGTCGGCAGCCCCAGCCAACAGTAATGTTTCCAACCCATTGAAGAGTGGCAACTTGACTGAGGTACAAGGCAGCAGAGAGAAAACCAGGCCTGTGTCTGCCTGTTGTATGAATGCAAATAATGTCCACTCCCTGAGCACAAGTAAGTTGAATAGTTTTGTTCTTCTATTATTTCTACCATTTTTTTAAAATACTAAACTGTTCTTAAAACAATAGAAGGACAATACTAAGTGTTTTTTATGCTTGTATTGCTGTCCAAAGTTGCATACAGGCAATAAATAAAACATGAATATTTAGCTAATATACAAAAAATAATGTTTCAGTTGCTTTTTTCTGTGGGTATTGCTGTTATTGCAGGAGCAATACTAGCAAAAAAACATTGCTTCGGAATAAAGTGATGGCTTTATTACAAATACAGAAATATTTTTACATGGGTTTCTATGGTATTGAAAGAGACTTTGAAGGTGCAGTGGACACACTCAAGGGCTGCATATGATTTAGCAAACCATTTTACCTCATAAGTAAAATGTACACCTTAAATTTTAATAGCTTTATAATTATATATAATGCATGATACAATTTATTGAATTTACTCATAAAAAGACCTTGTCTTTAATAATGTAAGTAGAACAATTTTACTAAAATTTAGTAACTCAAAGTAAAATGTTATACCCAGGCCCAAAAACATACGCAGATGTTGTCAAGTCACCTGTGGTTGGCCAGTCCAAAAATAGCTTATCACCACAGCTATCAGCTACTGTTCTATCAAAAAACTGGTGAATAGTTTTGAAATTACTTTGGTTTTATAATTTTTATTTTACTTTTAAAATTAATGAGGTAATTTTAATTAAAATATTTTATTACAACTAAATGCTGACACATCATATATTACAAGATGCTTTTTACACTGTGTTACTAACGATTACTTTGTCGTTAGGGTTGGGGAGCCAATGGAGGGAGTGTTGAGAACGGAGGCACTTAATCCTAACATTGAAAATCTCTCATCTACTCTGAAAATGAAAAACACACTCAAAATGGAACCTGTTTCATCTAGTAAGTTTAAATTTGTTCTCCACATATTCTTGTACGTTTAAAAAAAAATTTATTTCGGTAAAAATGACATACTTATTTTGTGTATCTGCATTTTGTTTTAACAGAACCAGGGGGAGACGCCTTAGATATCAGACAGCCATTAAAGCTCATTGATACCAATGCACTTCAAATTGTTCTTCCAAAATATAATAACAGGTAAGTAAATTCAATTATGTTTTGGAAGGTAATCTATTTTTAACATTTAATGACCTGAAAACGTTTTATTGATGCATTGCTAGTTATTGTAACTATTTGCTAAAGTTGAGGTTATAGATATGAACATTGGTAGAGATATTTTAAAATTTATTTTGGTCCATCTAGTTCCATTTTTGGAAAGCAGTCATTTATGAAATTGTTAATCCATCAAAACCAAGGAAACAAATCCAACTATTTGTTATATAGAACACATGATTCATTATCTAACACTAAACTAATGCAATTTTAATTACTTACAAATGATAAAAAGACCTATGAGTTTACACTCACATTCACAGTGACAAAGATTTTGGATACTGTGTTGGTTCCAGCAGTTATGAAAATAATTCCACAAAAACACAGCTCAAAGCACGGCCCACCAGTGCTAAGGAGAGAAGGCAGAAGAGAGCATTGTCATCAAATCCATACAGCATTCACCACAGAAAGACCAAACCCATCAGTCTGTTGGATTTACCTAAAGAAATAATTCCATCTGATTCCGTTGAAGGTAGTTTTCTTCTTTTTTTTGCCATCTAAACTTTAAATCTGCAATAATATTTTTATCTTTTGTCATTACCAAGATGTTTTCAAATTGTTTTGTTTTCTTCAAGGAGAAAAGCGACCAGGTTACATGTTACCAACATTTGCTAGAGCTCAAAAAATGTTGGGCATCTGTGTGGACAGACCTGCTCACAGAGAAGCAAACAACCCTCTGTCACGTAGGACACTTACTAATCGACAGCCCTTGTAAGTTTTTGTCTATTAAAGCAACATAATTCTTAATAGCACTGGTGTGTTTTCAACCATTTTTTTTTTAGCTTAGTATTAGTAGTTTAGTTCTTCTGTAATGATTTTTATGTGTTGTAAATAATATTTTGTAAACATTCTTTTACAGCACATTGGCATGGAATAAAATAACAAGCAATACATCAGAAGTTAGTTGGAAATGCTGATGAGAAAATATATTTCAAGCTAATTTATATTTTAAATTTTGTTTCCTGTTGATTTTAAAAATAATTTTATTTTTAAATGTTTATATACTATATATACACATTTTAGCCCATTAGCAAAACAATAATTGCAACTGGGGTGTGCAATTTGATTCTCCTACTGTAAATACAGGCTTTTATTATTCCTGCAGTAATTTAACTACTATGTAGTTTTTAAAAGTTACCTTGATGCTTTGATCTATGGTGCTATTGTACATAGAAGTGGCATGTTAAAATTACAAAATTTTTGAGATATGTGCCTTAAATGTAAGTACGCCTACCTGAAAATTTAAGTTTAATCGTTAACCTACAGATTCATATTACTATGGTGGTAATTTAATATTGCAAGCTTTAAATACTTTCTTGTTGAAATTTCTTACAAATTAGTCTGATCTTAGATGGATCACCTATTGTTATAAAAGCTGTTTTTATCTTAGTAGGAAGAATACTGTATTTTAACATCAGTTTGTACACTCAAAAATTTGGTTTGTTTATAGAAACTAGTTTATGAATGTCTCCTTGGTATACTGGGTTAGTGTCTGTTTATTGGTATTGATTACAAAGATGTTTTATTAGCCTGGCAGGCAGAGAAATTAGTACAGATTGAAAGGTAGCAATAAGCAGAGACTGCCCCATACTGTGTTTTGTATATTGATTTATTTTTATTGACCTAACTTGACTAACATTTTATAAAACAAGTTGACTGGTAAAACTGGGCTCTTGCCCATGAAAACCATCTCTCGTTTGTCTTTATTTGTATAGTTTGAGTGTAGTTGTTTTGCAATGTAATTGTTTTTAATTTCTAAACCTAGATTAGTTTAACAAGGAAAATTAAGAATTATAAAAATTCTTAAAATATGTACTAAGCCCTGGATTTTGATATAAATGCTGTTTTCGATCATTAGTGCTTAAAATAAAGGAGGTTAAAACTGTATGGTAGACACAAATAATTCAATTAACAAATCTGTTACTATAATTGCTGCAACAATTTTAATAAAATTTAAGATGAGTCAGTGTGTAAAAAGAAAAATATTTAACAATTGATACCAAGAAGAGTCTGAGTGAGGGTTTAAGTAAACAAACTTTTCAAGATTTTACATTTTATAAAAAGACCAGTGTTAGGAAACAAAACTTAAAATTCAGGGACCTTGTTCACAGAAACAAAATGATGCATAGACTGAATTATAATTATACCAAGATGCAATGAAACCATTAAAAACCCATTATCATTATGGTTTAATTTTATATTAACTTTTTAAATCATTAAATTTAACACTGGTGAATTAACCTAAAATTCTGTGTTTATGATCAATTATGAAACATGGTCAAATTTATTATGATCTAAAATAAATTATGAAATAATCATTACAATGTCTAAATAACACTGCTTCAAATATATACACTACATTAGTTATATAATACTAAGATGATTAGAAATTTATTGTAACATTAAATTCAGATGATAGTCTGATATCAAGTGAATGAATTATTTGCCTCACTTCAGCACTTGTAGTAATCTAAATTGAAAAAAAAACAACTAATTCATTGGCTTGTGGACGACACTGCCGTCAAACTGGTAGGGATGGTAGGACTATTAGTACTGGAGTCCACAACAGGTACCTTTGAAAGACTCTCCTTAGGCTCACTGATCTGTGCCTGCCACTTGAGTTTACTTTTTTCTGGCAGAGGTGGGTGGTAGAAAGGGCAGGATGAGCTCTTGCAGGCCACACCAAATCGGCAGGGCTTGGGGTGTAAAAATGCGCAGTTGACGTTCAGACAGTTTGGATAGAAACGGCAGGTGGTCTGGGCAGCATTGAAACTCTGGGCACTGTAGTGAGGTATTTGAGGAGCAGCTGAGAATATGACATGAGGCTGGGGAATAGCAATCACTCTAGGAGCATTAGCCATGCTCGATCTTCGACTGGTGTGGGTAAACGGGCAATCAGGGCGGCTGCATTTGGAATCATAGCGACAATTTGGGTGAATAAACAAGCAATTGGTTCCAAATTTGCAGTTAGGAAAAGTTTTACAGTGGGTTGTAGGGTGGTGGTACTCGCAAGCACTTCCAGCTGCACAAGCCGGCCAAAATTTACATCTTTCTGACATTTTGGCCCTTTTGATTGGCGATATCTCAGCCTCCATCTCTACGTTTGTTTGCTCGTAGCTACTAGGTGCTGGCTTGTGATCTTTTTCTTCATGCTCGTCATCTGAATCTTTTAGGCTTATTGAGAAAGGTTGGATTTTAGGGGGCTGAAGTTTGTTGGCAGCCTGAGGTGGGGTTGATGACCTCGTGATTGGCAGAACACCTTGCTGTAGAACACCTTGCGCCATGGGTCTTCCATGAGTTGCAAGAATCCCCAGAAGCAGTTTCTCATTTTGTTGGTCTGCACTAAGCACTGGCATGGAAGATCCAACTAAAGGTCTCCTGAATTTATCATATGAGCCATCCGCAACATCAAACTGCCTTTCATCCACGCCATCTAGAGTTACAATAAACCTGGTGCCTAGCTTTTGCTCAGGTTTTTCCATCGCTGTATTCTCCTCAACATCATCCACAATGTCACCCACCACATTGGTAATATCATCCTCATCTAAATCCAGTGTAAACTCATCCTGAGGTTCTAAAATCTCAGGCTCCAGGTCATCACCAATCATGTGTGCCAAATCTTCTGGCTCCTCTTCTCCCATCCTCTCTGCTTCATCCAAATGTTCTGTTTTAATTCTTCTTCCCAGCTCCACATCCTTTCCATCATCACTACTCACAGACTTGGTATCACAGCAAACAACTCTGCTATCAGGGCTGGACCGGTGCTTAGATTTATCAACTGCTTTAGATGTAGTCACAGACATGACAGCAGCTTGACACTGTTTCTGTACAGCATCTCTACCCAACTGGGACAAAACTCTAGCCCCACTATGTTTTACATCTCTAGATTTGGACTCCCTAAGATCCTGCCTAGCCTTTGATCTAGCTTTGATGTCTTCACGAGCATCATGCCTGACACTGCTTTGAATGGATCTCATCTTTATATCCTCCCTGGCATCGCGATGTAGACTGCCATGGATGGATCTAGATATTTCTTCTCTAGCATCTGTGTAATCTGCTGATCTTCTTCGCTCAACAACTATTTTACCCAACCTTTCAGAGATAGGGTTTTTGTTCTCTGTACCAGTACCCTGACTTGGCACTACAGACTTTCTGACGGGAGGGGAAGGGCTGCGTTCCTTTCTGTGATCTCCTGCTGATGACCCTTTCACAACATTGGAGGTGATTTGAAATTTTCTCTCTGCCTCCACGTCATCTTTGGCATGTCTTTCATACTTGGCAACTTTCTCAGCTGCTTCTTTTTTCCTTTCTGGGGATGTCAGTGATTCCACTTTGTGTGAGGAGTCACGGTCAATGCCTATTGTTCTTAGGAGTTCCTCCCGCCGAGACCTTGAAATGAGCTCTTTGCGATCTTCTCTGCTAAGCAAATGTCCTGATTCACTGCGGGATACAGTACGATGATCAGCATGCTGGCCAGTGCGATGCCTGCTAGACTCCTCTTTTCTTGAGGGTATATACGGCGGAGGGCTAGACTCAGCATGGGACTGTTCTCTCTTTCGTTTAGGTGAGTAGACTTCTGCAGGTGAATCAGCACGGCTCATGGGCCGTGTCACACCAATCTTTCGTTTGACAGCGATGGATTTTTCTGCATCGGACATTGCTTTCATAAGTAAAGCTCTGAAATTAAAAAAAATATTTTTAGTTATAAGGAATGGAGAAATTTGATTTAAAAAGAATAAAAGCTTCCTAAAATATAAACACAGATATATGTTTCAAGTAGATAAGGATTCCAATAGATAAAACCATACCATTATATGTATCTTCAAACAGATAAAATCTGCTAATTTTTTTTTACTGAATTCAGTTTTTGTAAGTAAAAGCAAAATAAATATGTTTGTTTTTTTGCACAAATCTCAGTGAAAAATAAGGCATAGTGAATCTAGAATTTATTTTATAGTATATCAAAATGAAATAGCTAAAACCACTTTGACAGTTCATCAAGCTGTTTTATCTTTATGTTAATAGCAAAAGCAAAAATTAAATTGTTAACCTAGTAGTTTTGAAAGCAAAACTAAAATAACTTCTATGTACTGGTTTTTAAAAACATTTCATGATCAGGTGTATTTAGTTCACAACAAATATTACACTTCTCCAGAGTTAATTAAACCTTACCATTAGACATGGACCATCAATAATACATTTAAAAGTCTATTTGCCATCCACACAACCCCCACCCGTTTCTTCTTTCTCTGAATTTTTAGTTTCACTTTCTTCATCATTTGAGCTATCATCTTCCTCGTCATCTTCATCCTCATCATCTGTACTAGAGTCTTCAGAGCTGGAATCTTCTTGTAAATTAGCTCTTTTATTTATCACAGTAACTTTGAGGTTCTTTGCCATTACTTTTAGAACCTCTGAGCTTATAGTGTGAGGGGAATCAGCACCTTCTTCATCGGATGGATTTGTTCCTCTCAAAGACTTGCACTTATCTCCTATCTGTTTTAGAACAGATGTTGACTCTGACTCAGGTCTCTTTTTGCTATGTATTGAATTCACCACAATTGATGGGAGTGGTTTACTTGTGCTTGTTTTCTTAAACCTGAGTGGACCAGGTGTAGGCCTCTCATGTTTAGAATCTGATGGTGAAAGAGTTGAGTTAGAGGTTGAGACTATGCACCGTCTCATGGCTAGAGATTCAGAGGTACTGCTGGGAGGGCAAGAATGGGCTGAGGTTGGTGAGCTACAAGTATCCACCTTACTTGTGGATACAGGAGACTGTGCTTTTTGATCCTCAAGTTTAAAATGTTCTGAAATTCGTCTTTCATTGATCTTTCCGATTGAATTATCAGACCTTGAGTTAAGTTTGCTATTAGTTCTTATAGACTGTGAGGACTTTTTACTACTACTACTAGAAGGTATTTTATTTTTTAACTTTGGGTGAAAGATGATTCGTTCTGTATGGTCCTCTTTCATTTCCGTGTCATTATCTACTTTGTTACTAGTAGTAGTAGTAGTAAGAATGTTTTCATTTTCTTGAGTGAGGTCTTTGACATTGTGTGTGACGTTATTACAAAGTAGAATGGCATGTCTTGATGGAGTGTCGCTCAGCATATTGAGCTGAGGGGAGGCTTGTGGGCTTGATTTGTCTGAGGTAACCAAGGTTTGGGATTTGCTCTTGGAGGGCTGGATGTTATCTGCTCTTGTGGCTGATGATTTTGTCGGTAACTTTAGCAATGGTTTGACCTGAGTAAAATTCTCTTTTGATAGTGTCTCTAAGTCAAACAAAACTTTCTGAATTTTCATCTTTGCTAATGATAAATGAAGAGGGTTTAATTTTCTTAGGGAAGATTCAACCATCTTAGAAAAATGAGAAATATCATCCAAACTCTCTTGACTTTTCTTTATAACTTCTTCTAAAGCTTGTTTTATATTGTCTAGGAAGGGAGTATCTGTATATTTAGCAATCTTTGCAGGCGGTTCTTCTGAGTCTTCTACGAGTGCAGCTGTAGTTGAATCTTCACTGCCTTGGTTGGATTTGCCATTTGTTTCTCTGGAGGATAAACAAAAACAAACCCTGAAGATTCAAGATTCACTGAAGGTATACAGTAGCTGATGATAAGTACACATTTCTCAAATGATGACAATCTGCATTCTCTCTAGAATACAATACAAATTATTAGTGGTGGTGTGTAGCTACCATGCTCTTCTAATACACTATCATTTTATAAAATATTGAAGTCTTGCATTCCTTCCACTTCCAGCATCTGACATAGAAGTATAAATCAGATAAATTGCCAACCTCATCACATTCTCTTAAGAGGAAGTGATGAGGTTGAAAGAAAAGATCTTTCAGTCTGTCTACAGGGTGTGCGTACATACCTTTAATCCAATCTGCAATTTCCACATATTCAATTGAGGAATAAATGTAATAGTATATCGTATTAGTTAAAATATTTATACCATACTTTTATTAAGGTTAGATAAAAATTAATCTAACCATACCTTTACCCATACAGATTAAGTTGTATACAAAATTTAATTTTGAAAGTTTATGAAGATTAATTAACAAACTGAAAAAGTTTTTATGAAATATAAAATGTTAGTAGTTAATTAAGCATAGTTAATATACAAATGCAAAAAAGTATCGTGTTTAGGCTATAGAAATAGTAAAAATGTGAAATTATTACAATGAGAAAGCTTCTAGGATGCAAGCGGAACATTTAAAAATAATTGTTAACATTATACACCTGATCATAATAGAAATGTTTGCTGGTTATAACCAGAAAAACACCTTATAACAAATTATTTTGCATTACAAGATGGGGCAAATAAAAAATGAACATTAAATTGAGTCTGAAGCTTACAAAAACAACTAGTTAGAATATTTTGAGGAACTTAGAGATACATAAGATATTAAAATTTCACATTTAAGAATACTTTAAAAAAAGAAAATCTAGCTTAAATAAAATAACATGGTATCATACAGTTTAAGAAGAGGCAGTTTGAAACCACTTTAAATAAATTAACAATCTATTTTCTATGATCGTATGACCAACCAGTTTCACACCCAAGGCGCTTAGTGGGCAAATAAAAAGGAATCACTACTTATTATGTGACCAGTGTTCCTTAAAGACTACTTTCTCAGGGTGTAGTGGTGAATGTCCCCCCCCCCCCCCCCAAGAGATCCCTGAAAGTTAACTGTATCTGACTCTTAACCTAAGACACCTTGTGAACTAAAAAAAATTATTAAAGTCCACTGATAGTGCTATTCAAATACTAAACTAAAAGTGACAAAGTACGGCCGCTGGTTATTCTCTTTCTTTAAGAGGTATCAGACAACAGATTAAAATGTGTTTTTCATTAGTTTATCCAAGACTAAGAAAAACAGCCTGCTAAAGCAAATTTATTGAACATACAAAAACAAAATGCAGTGCAAATTATTTTTTAGTAATGATACATTACCAAAGCTCATTAAATAGGCTACTTCTTTATAAATTTCAGGGTATATTAATTACTATCAACGTGTCCCAAATAAGAAAGCAATTAACACTATTGATGTCTGTCAAAACCTGTGGTACATCTACAAGCTCATATAAATTTACTTTGTGGTTAGAACAAAATAATTTATCAATTCTTAAATTAAATTTTTAAGTAAAATCTCTACTCAAGTAATCAATGAATGATATGATAGTGAAATAGATAATGTGCTGTATATTGTAACAAATGAAACTAATTAACTAATATATAAACTTAAATCTATATTAAAAAATTCTTAAATCATTTACTTTTTTCAAAAACAAATATACATCTAAAACAAATGGTTTGAAAACAACGTGACTCCTGTGTTTTAATAAAAGTTTTATTGTATGCTTGCGCCAAGTTTGATAAGATACACAAATCATTGTGTTTAAGCTTATAATTCTATTTACACCAACAACATTTTAATTTTAAGTTCCACTTAAGTAAGATGATCTTTGATTGAATGGCTATTTCAAAGGTGGTGGAATATTTGTCTGTAATTTAGTGTAAACATAACTTTTTACTAAAAAAATGTTCTAAACTCATACAAGGCCATTTGTTTTACATCATTTTCCATGAAAAGCTAAATTGTTTTCAGTTTTTCAAATTTTATTTTGTTTAGGCCCTAGTTACCAAAAATACTAGACAAATCAAATATTCTCATGTTCAATCTTTAAAACGTCATGTAAAAACCATAAAACTACCTATTTAACATTATTTTAATAACACTGCACAACATTTTAATAATATTTTAAGGGCATCTTTATAGTATTTATCGTGAATACTTTTAATTAAATAAAATATCTTGAAAACTGCACCAATGATTTTAATGCATTAATGTGTAACATTTTTTAACCTGACTACAGACACTGATAATAAAAATAAAATATAAATAGGCTATTATTAGGACTGTAGTAATATTTTCAATCCCCTGAATGGTAGAATTATGAACAAAAACAAATAAAGCTGGGGACATGCACAACACAGATAGCCGTACTATTTAGTGAAAAAATCATAACATAATATATTTGAAGAAATGTTAACATTTAAAACATTAGGCCTATAACATTTGATGATGATGTTTAAAAATTCGATTACAGTTTTATTTAATTTTCGACCTGCCAAATGAAGTAGTTACCACTATGCTAGCCACCTAAACTATCCCAGACTCAAGTCAGTTACCCACCAGCCCTGAGTGGAAAATTAGAGTACAAACCATAAGATTTTATGCTAGCTTGCATTTCTTCATGTTTTCCCCAACACTAGTTTTTGTGGAGCCAATAGGTAATAGAGATAAAGATATCACTAGTCAATACTGTAGTATTAAAATGCAGATTCTATAGTTAATAAAGTAAAACTTTGTTCAAAGATTATTTTTAAACTTCATTTATTATTTATTACTAATTAATCAGAAGCATGATACATACTACATAGAATGATCACCAAAGCTACTTAAATTAGCCTACACCTCAAGTGCAAGTTTTTAGTCACAGACCCAAGTAAGATATTTAGTAGATTTTCTTACTAAATCTAGAATTTACCCAAATTTCAAATTAATTAAGTATAACTACTGAATGCTAGACATCCATAATTAATCCATTAGGCACTAATTTAGAAGTTTTTAGTTCGTTTTAAACTAAATTACTTAATTTAATATTTATTGACACTCACTGCCATGGCCAACACACCTCTCCATGACAACTCTTCTTAAGCTTGAACGTAAAGAAAACCACAAAAAGGTTACACTTTTTAAGTGGCCATGTACCCAGAGTTCCCCACTAGTGATCATCAAATAGCGGTCACGTGGTTTAAAAAAATAAATTTGGTTGTCATTCAAAAGTCGTGTCTTATTTTAAAAAGCGCATGCAATATTTGATTTATTTCTTCATATAATGATAAACCTAATAGTTCTACAACCTCCAATTCATTTTTGTGACCTCCGGGCTGATATTTTAGAAGTTCTATTAATTTTAATGAGACCAACTTTTAAATTTAGCCTTCATTCTCCAAAGCAAATTTTAAAATGCTTTCCTAGCATATTTAGCCTTGCCACCTATAGCATGTTTTTATAACGTGAAAACCCGCCATTTTACTCGTGATAAACATTTTTAAAAGTAATTCTAAGAAGGTCTCTGGAACTAAGACGAAAAATCGTCGGAAGTCATGCATCTGGTCCGTACGCCATATTGTTGTTAGCAACCGGCCACGCCTCCGGGTTAGCGAGAAATACTAATATTTAGGCCTAATAACAAGTTCAAGTTGCCTTTGGGTTGGGGTAAACCTAAAAAGCACAAATTTGTGACAAATTGACAACAGTGATGCAGATCAAAATGGAAATTTCAATTAAACTTATTTTGTAGTTAGGCCTAACCCATGAGCGGGCCAGAATATTTTTGGCCTATTTGTAACATGCGTAACATTTTAATCCACACACTGAACAATTTGTTTAACAAGCCTATGCAAGTTTAAACTTTAAAGGCTCAAACTCAAATAAAAATAATTTTAAGCTACCTGTTGGCCTGTAGAGAGGCAGGCACACTGGATTTTCGAGTAGTCACTTTAACAACACTTGCTACACTGCCAACAGCAGGGTTGTATGGGTCATATTCTTCCTCATCTCCTCTGCGAACACTAGCAACAACTGATGTTGGTATCTTTCGTTTCCTAGAAATAGTAGACAAGTTGTTTTTCTCTGGGCTAGGGCTTCTACTCAAACTCTCACGGTTAACTAGATGGGCAGTAACAGTTTCTTTCTTTTTAGTTTCATTTTCCTGAGTAGCTGCCTGAGTTGAAGAAAGTTTTGTAAATGATTCAGCTTTCTGCCTTGACTGCTCTACTTCTTGTTCAGTTGTTTCTAATTCTTCAGCAAGCTCATCTGCTTGAGTTACAGTAACTAAAAGCTGTCTTACATCCTCAACATCTTCATGAACATTTTTGATTTTGGTGCTTTCTGTTTTGTTTTTATCACTTAAATCTGACTCTACTAAATCTAGATTTAATGGAATCTCTTCTTGTTCTGTAATTTCAATAACTATGTCACTAGTCTTTTGAACAGATTCAACTGGTTTGGTTGCTGTATGTTCATTATCTCGAGTGGTCGACTCAGTATTTGATTCTTTTGAAATAATTTCACTACTTTGTTTGGAATTGGAGTCACTTTTGTCACCAACACTTGAGGACCTTTTTTTGGATTCCGAGCTGCTTCTTTTCTTTGATTTTTTTTCCTTGCCTTCTTTTCTGTCTTTCTTCTTCTCCTTGGATGCTTTGACTTTATCTTTCTTTTTATCACCCGAATCAACAGTTATTGTTTGTAATTTACTGAGAAGACCGTGCAACCATCCAGTAAAAGTTTCGGTGTTACCTCCCAGAAAAAGTCCCAAATCATGGCTCATCTGTGCACGAGACTTCTTGTTTGCAACCATGACCATTATGTAATCAGGTAATTCATCGTCGACATAAGCTCCTAGCTCCATTAATTTCGCCTTAATGGCAGAACGAATCTTTTGACTTATTTCGGTGCTAACTTCCATTTTAGCAAACCAGTCAATAGCACGCAGAGCGTGCTTTATGTTATTTAAAAATTTTCAATCAAGTACAGCAAAAGACGTCTTCTAATCGATTTTCACGGAAGTTGATAAATGCGCTCCCTTGAACATCACAGAGGGCGCTGCTCTTTTAATAGAAGCTGCCAGAATCAAGTGAACTTGAAACAGGCCTAAAAGTCTATTAAATAAATACATACAACACATATTCTATCCAATTTATCATCGTTAGGTTAAATGATAACAAATGTATAACTACGTCAGAAATGTCATCATTCAAAATAGCAGAATTTTTTTCAACATAATAATTTAGAATGACAGAAAATTAAAGGCTGTGTTATAAACCATAATAACGTTAACTACCCCTACCCCAGGTCAGGTAACAATATACAAAATGATACACACGCCTTGGCCTGATGATTTATTCATGCTGTTACATCCATAAATGACGTAATTCTTTTTTTGACGAAATTTACCTCCCCTGCCACCTCCCCTCCCGTCACAAACAAAAAGCCAGCCCCCCCCCCCCCCCTAATATGAACTCACACCTCAACCTACACCCCCCCCCCCCCCAAATTGCAGTTGAATTTTTTCTTAAAATACGATATTTTCCCAAAATCTTGTCTGAACTCCGTCAACATAGGGTATTTTAATTAATTCCTATTGCAATTTATTAAAACAGTTTTCTAAAACGCGAAATAACGGCTAAAATTCGTTTTCGAACATTGCCTTTTTATATAGCAAAATTGTGACGTCACACCATCTGTACCCCTTCCCCCTCAATGACGGACCCCCTCCCCCCTACGAGTGTGACGTCATTTATGGACAGCCCCTTAGACCTAGAGCAACTAGACGATTTGGTCTTTGTCCGTGTAGCGTTTCTTTCTTGTATCTCCTGGGGGAGAAGACGCCCCCCCCCCCCCAAAAAAAGCACGTTTACCGCCCCTCTCGAACGAAATCAGAAAATTATATAACGTAAGTTGTGTAGAATATATGTACGTTACCCCTCCCCCCCCCCCTCCGCTGCAAATGTCCTAGCTTTACCGTTAACCTCAGAGGACTAATCAGCAATTAGGATATATATATATATATATATATATATATATATATATATATATATATATATATGTTACGGTCAAAGCCCGAAGTGCGGCCAAACCCCGGATTGGCCGGCCAATCCGCGCATTGGCCGGCTCTCTTGGCCAAAGCCCGAAGAACTTAGCACTAAGATCGTATTTCGTACATTGGCCGGCCAATGCGCGCACTGGCCGGGACGTACTGGCCAAAGTCCGAAGCGCTTAAACTTGACAGCGTATTTTGTACATTGGCCGGCCAATACGCGCACTGGCCGGGATGTCCTGGCCAATGTTCTATCTAGACTAAGTTGTGATCGCATTTTCATTATTCTGAGTGCGCTTTCATTGAGAGTAACGTATTGTTTAGCTCTTGTTTGTATAGCATTCTATATGCAAGTCGACATGGATCAAAAGGGCAGTCAGTCCATGAGACAGACATAGCAGATGGCTGTCAAAAGAAAAAAATGTAAATCCATGTTAGTTTCCATATATGGGCTCTCGATAAAATAGTTACTGAGGAAGATCTTGAGAACATTGAACAAGAAATGGAGGTTGCCATAAATGCAACGACATCCTCAGCTAACACATATGCTGCCTTGGCGGAACGTCCAGACCAGTTGCGTGACAATAATGTGGCCAACAGATTCTGTATAGTTTGTGAAAAACATTGTAGTGCAGCTCATTCTTTTGGATCCTGTGGCAACGATGTCCATGCTATTTGTGGAATACCCAATGAAGCAGACGAAGGGTACGGAGGGAACATTACCTGCAGATTGTGTTAGAAAAAACAAGCCATCATGGAACACAGATCAGCAGCTCATACTGGCTTGCAAATTCAAGGTGCTAAGATGCTTAAAACATCAAATACAAAATTTAAAGATGGTGAATTGGGTGACAATGTACGCATCCGTTTTCAGATGTTGACAGAGGTCACGGTGATCCCCGAAGCGTGATTGCAGTTGTCGTGAGCGTCGAGGGCGGTTTCTACAAATTAGGAACGGAACATGGTGTTCTAAAACAACTGTATGCTAGAAGTGAGTTTTCAATTCTTCACCAAAAACTGCTCTTATTGTCGTAAGTTGACACTGAGGAAAATTCACTACGAACCATCGCATCTTCACAATCATTGCCTGGGGGCCAAGGCTACACTCGCTGCAATTGCACAACTAAGTGCACAACAAATCGCTGCAAGTGTAAAAATAATAAGCTGCTATATCATTCTAAATGCCATAAAAGTTAAAACTTGTTTAACAAATGATGATATTGATAGATTGAGACTATAGTACAATAAAAAATGTGAATGTTTCTGTCATTTACTTCAATTAATAATCAATAAAGACTTAATTTCATGATCCTTACGGCATAAAAAAACAAAATCTGCTCATGATCTTCTAGTTCGGACTTTGGCCGGTCTTCCTTAACCAGATGATCTTCTAATTAAGACTTTGGCCGGTCCACCATGGCCAGTCTGCGGATTGGCCGGCCAAAGGCCGAAATCAAGCAAAGTTTCGGACTTTGACTGACCTATTGGAGGCGATATTGGCCAATGCGCGGATTGGCCGGCCAATCCTAGCATTGGCCGACTTCGGGCTTTGACCGTAACATATATATATATATATATATATATATATATATATATATATATATATATATATATATATGTTACCGAGTCTATTTGCTTGTAGTGCCAAATGTTACCGATTTCACTGCTGACAGAGCCAAATGTTACCGAGTGTATTTACTCGTGCTACCTTTGACCAGCACACAACATCGACCACAATATAGATACTCGGAAATGCAGGTTTACATTGATCTCTTTATTACATGAATCAATAGAAATGCTCCACATAACAATGCATCAATGTTCCACAAGAATAAAATGAACCCACTGTCCTCACTAGTCCTCACATAACAGAATGCACGTGTCCATAATTCCTATCCTCACATAACACACACGTCTACACCGTTCAATAACCAACTTGATACTCTCCGTTCAGTAACCAACTTGATACTGCCTCTCTCTACCAGTCGCCTTCCCATCATCCCCTCGTATACGTAATAATTACCATTTGTTGCATCAGAACTATTAACTGCGCAGCTCTGTCGTACAGTCCGCTTATTAGACCACCTGCATCCTGTTACGTCAGCCCCGTTTGGCCTTGGTCATGTCAAAGTTGACAGCGCTGTACTACGTTCTTATGTCTCTGGTAACTCTACTAGTTACATCCACCCCCGCCTTTTTTTGTGTGTTTTCAACCACAAACAACGCTTGGCAGGTGCACTCCTTCAATGTCAAACGCACCGCCGTAAAAAAAAAAAATTATTGTTCCACTCACTGTCAAAGTCGTCACATTCGTAAAAGATTGACAGTTATCCCTATTTCACATATCAAATGTGTCTACATCATATTCCTGAGACACAAAGCAGTTCTAGAATTCACATCCACCTTTTTTCGTTTGGTGTCTTCACCAGTTCACTTTGATAGCTTTTGAACAGTCTGTTCTCACCCCAGCGCGACCATAAAAGAATTGATGGTTGCTGACGAAAAATTTCGTATTCTTTCTGTTTCTCAAACTTCTCCGCGGACCACTTATCTGATGGTCTACTGTCTCTCTGCTTCTGGGAGGAACGGGATCCTCTTTGTTGCCGTTATCCTCCACATGTGTATCGCTGTTGTGCTGTTGATGGTGACATGGTTCCGGGATGGGTATGAGAATTTCCGTTGTAGTTTCCGGTTCCCTAATTGTCTTAGGTTTCTTTGTATGTAAATGCTCTTCTTGACTATGCCAATATTTCTTTAATTGAGCAATATTCGCCCACCGATCCGGTTTGATGTGATTGGTGGGTCTTATCTTAAAGGGGCCACCTGCTACTTTAGGCATCTCCACGACTTGCCATATCTCCTGTCCCCAGAGGTCGTGGATTTTGTTTCTGCCTAATGGGTGGCTACGCAGTAATACTTTGTCGTTCAGTTGGAGTGGCGGGTCTTTTGTCTGTACCCGCGGTTCTCTTCGCCGTGCTTCATGTTCTAGTCTTCCTTGTACTACCCTGTACATTTCTCTTATTCGTCTCATATGTTCATTCACATATTCCAGTGCGGTGTATGAGCCAGTCATACTTTCATTTTTTCCTAGGAACAAGTCAAGAGGGAGTCGAGCCTCCCGTCCGAACAATAACATGTGTGGCGAAAAGCCGGTTGTGGCATGGGGGGTGCAGTTGTATAGATATACCAACTCTGGGAGAAAATCAGGCCAACGTTTTTTCTGTTCAGGTTCTAGAGTACGCAGCAAATCATGCATGCTGCGGTTGAACCGCTCGCACTGTCCGTTTCCTTTAGGATTAAATGTGGTTGTTCTAGATTTGTTGATCCCGTAGTGGCTGCACAGTTGGTTAATTACTTCTGACTCGAAGGCCCTTCCTTGGTCAGAGTGTAATTGTATTGGTATGCCATATTTGGTGAACCAGTGTTCTATTAAGACCTTTGCCACTGTTTTAGCCGTCTGATCTCGTGTGGGCACCGCGACAGTCCATTTGGTGAATACGTCAGTCATCACCAACACATGTTCCGTCCCATCCGATGATTGCTCCAACGACGTAAAGTCCATAGCCACAATCTCTAGTGGTTTTGTCGCCAGTAAGTGTCCTGATGGTTGTCTCATTTTGACAACTGGCATTTTCGCATGCTGACACCTCACACAAGCCTCACAATGGTGTTTGACCTCCATCTCCATATTGGGCCAGTAGCACCTCCGTCGTAATATTTTGTGCGTCCTGTCCTGACCCTGGTGTCCCGCCCTGTCATGTGCCAACTTTAGCACTTCTTCTCGTAACTGTCCAGGCACCACCACCTGGTGTATTGTCCCATCTATTTGGTCATGAATTCTCCGCATGAGAACACCATCCTTTATACTGAGAAGGTCCCACTGACTCAGTAGTTTCTTTGTTTCTCGACCAAATTGTTCTCTTTCCCTTCTTCTTGGGAATTTTTGTTCCTGGACGTATTTCAACAGCGGCTGTA